AACCTATCGATCTCTCAACCTAATAGATTAAAAAATTAAACGCGTTAACGATCACTATCACAGTTCCTAAACCGATTAACCTATCTCTCAATAGCCTTAATCAATTCATTCAATGAATTCTTTCCGAATCTAATTCCAACTCTCGTTGTCAATCAGAATCTAAGATCAATCAATCAACAGGTCAAGAAGATCAAAAGCAATAAACTCAATTCAATTAAACCGCCGAGTATCGATAACGTAGTCTCGGAAAATAAAACCAAACAAATCCCAACAAGGTTAAATCCCTAGCTACAGTGAAACGACTACTCACTACCCATAACAACAAAGAGTTCAAATCAATAAGAAGAAACATAGAAACAGATAAAGAAGACTCGCAGCGATCTCTCGACGACGATTCTTCAATCTCTGCTCTCGGGAAACTCCGTCTTGATTCTCTCTCGAGTTCTCTGGCTTCTCCTGTGATCTCTCGATCATTTTCTGAAGCCCAAGACGTCTTCTATTTATTTGCTTAGCAGCTGGGCTTCTTCCTTTGTTGAAAAGAGAAGTTCAGATGCAAAATAAGAAGTCTTCCCGTAACGCAACACGGCCGTGTCGAATGCAATACGGTCCGTGTCAATTCTCTGTTAAAAATCTGCACTTTAGACATGGACTGAACACGGGCGAGTTTGAATCAACACGGCCGTGTCGAATGACAACACGGTCCGTATCAATTCTCTGAGCAAAACTTCACTTTTTTCAGCACGGACACAACACAGCCGTGTCGAATGCAACACGGTCCGTGTCGATTCTTCAACTCGAACATGCTTGAAAGATTTGCTCATAACTTTCTGCTCCAATGTCGGATTTGTGCGATATTTGTGTCTATGCGTAGATATTGAAGAGAGTTTTCCAATGAGATAGAGAACGCATAATTTGGATTGGTAAAGTGGAAGTTATTAGACTTGCAAGTTCTGACTTTTTAGACTTCATGTTTTTTCCCGGTACAACTCCAAATGTTCCCGTTTCGTCTGTGATGTTCTGTAGTCCATGTTTTCCTCTCCTTTTGCTCTCTTTTATGCATGAATACCTGTTTTGACATCAAAGAAAGTAACCAAGCAATATCGAGACCAAATGTACTATAGAATGCCTATAAACATGCAAAAACGAGTAAAATGCACTAGACATCCTATACTAAAATGTCACCAAAATACATGTTATCATGTGACAAGGTCACACGGTCACACGGTCACATTGTCACACGGTCCCATGGTCACATGGTCCCATGGTTACACGGTTCCATGGTCACAAGGTCATATAGTCACATAGTCCTTAAACCTAACACCGCATATTGATAAAGTGTTACATGAATGGTAGGAGAACGTCTACAACGGGAGGGGAGAGAAACCGAAAAATGATAATGGTTGTGAATGTGGTGTTTTTGCAATAAAGTATGTTGATGCAATTTGCCTTTGTAAACAATAAACGTTGTACTCCTTGATATGTGCGATGATGTCTCTCTGATTCATGAGCAGTTGGCAGCCGCAATATTTGTTCATGACAAGGTAACAAAGAAAGCGTGAACTTTTACTTGACCAAGTGTCTTGTTTGTTTGGTAAAACCCTAAATTATGACCTCCTTTTATTTGTTTTGGTAAAACCTTAAATTATTAACTTTTATTCTTTGTTTTTTATTATTTTATATCTAAACTTAGTTATGAATCTGTCAGATAGAACGACCTAATTTGTATTTGAACTTATTTATGAACATATTATTATAGAAATACAACACACCATTATGCAAAGGGAACATCATTATCGACAATGTCGAAGAGAACGCCTAATTTGGAGCGAAGAAATAGACGAAATTTATTTAATAATGGTGTATTATATTTGTGTAATAATGTGTTAAAAATGCTTTTGTATAATAATGTCCAAAACTTTTTGTATAATAATGTTGTATTGTGTTTTGTACAATAATGTGTTAAAATTTTTGTATAATAATGTGTTAAAATAATTCTGAGTAAATTTAGTTACCCAATAATTTAAATTTACTTTCGTATATATGTGAATCTTGTTACACGCTAAATAAATAGACTCATATGATTTATTGTTGTAACCCATTGTGACCAGCATGTGACCATGTGACCGAAGTGCAATTTTACACTGTGTGACCATTGTGACCAACTGTGACCCGTGACCGAAATGTGTTGATAAATATAGGTCAAAATTTAATTTTTAAGCTTTGGGGTGATTTATCAGGATCTATATATCAAATATATAATTGTGTGAAAAATTTTCAAATATTTTAAAGGGTTTATAGATGAAATATACTAAATTTATCAAAAGTACTCATAAAACATTATGAAACATATAGGAACACATTTGGAAGAATAATTTTGAAACATAAAAATCATAAAAACCATATTTTAATGTTCGAAACAAAATAAAATGAGTTTATGAGAGATGTATAATATTGTAGAGTGATTAAATTAACAAAAATCGCATGGATGGAAGGTTGTGACCGGTTGTGACCGACTGTGACCGAAATATGTTGTGGGATCCACACGAAGAACTAGTCAGAATTTGATCAGATTTTTATGTTTCATGGGGTCCATAATTATTTTTTCTATTTTTACTTTTAATGTGGGACCACTTTGAATATTCAACCCTACACATTTTTCTTTTTAACCCTATATTTTTTTTCTTCTAATTTTTACTCCAAATTTTTACCTGCAATATTTTTAACCCAGATTTTTTTGTAAAACATTAAAAAGTTCAATTTTTTTATGAACAAAATTTAACATATTTTGGTAGGACCTATTTTCACATAAAATCATCTAAAAAATACAGAATTTTTTGTGATGTCTATTTTTTTCTCCAACTTTGAATTCAACCCTATATTTTTTTCTCCAACATTTTAAACCCAAATTTTTTTTCTAAAACAATTTCAACCTAGATTTTTCCCTAAAATATGAATAAGTGTAGATTTTTAATAAATAAAAACCAAAAATAAAAGTTCGTACTATCAAACAAACAAAAAGATCATAATTAGGGTTAAAACAAATTAACAAAGCACTTGGTAAAATAAAAGTTAACACTTTCTTCTTGTGAAACCTTTGAACCCTCTCATAGGCAAATATTGCAGTCACCACCTACTCACGGATTAGGGTGACATTATCGTCGCATATCAAAGGGCACAATATTTGTTCTTTACCTACACAAATCACTTCAAATAGTTGTATCCTATGTAGGTCACCGAGTAAACTTACAATATCTATGATCCATATTCCGTCTGATACTTCTTTGTACTCCTCCAAAAAAAAAGTGTTTCTTCATTCATTTATATTTGTAATATATTTTTAACTCTGTGAAAGAAAATATAACTCATTGTTACTATACTAAATCGTGTGATCATGTAACCATGCGACTGTGTGACCATGTAACCGTGTGATCATGCGACCATGTGACTATGTGACAGTGTGACCATGCGACTATGTGACCGTGTGACCATGTGACAATGTGATCGTGTGACTATATGATCGTGTGAACATATGATTCATACTATGTGATCATTGACGATTAACCATTGTCCACAAAATATATCCATATTTTGATTATATGATCATGTCACTTATATGATTATATGATCATATGACCTATATGACCGTGACCATATGACCCAAATCATCATGTCATTCATACATCCATACATCGATTCATATGGCATTGTAACCCATGTGACTGTCTTCAATGATGTTGTGATCCCAACGGGTCCATTTAACTCAATTTTAACCATTTTATATCCCAATTGATTATTTGATTTCAAACCCAATATTCTATTTCAAAATCCCCAAAATTTCAAAAACCCAAAATCCTAAGTTTCTATCGATCAAATCCCAAAACCATGCTTCAACCCAATAATAATAAATTTCAAAATCCAACAAATCTAAAAAGAAATGTTCGTTTAACCTACCACGTGTTCATCTAATGCCGCAATATGCACACGTTCATTCTCGGTTGAAGATTGTGACGAAAATGAGTACAATGGTTATTTTGAAGTCACGTTTATTTTGAAGAGACACGAAAGAGAGAGAGGGTAATAAACGGGCAATTTTACTTTTTTTTAATTGTAAATTTTTTAAATATAAAAAGGAAGGTTTTTTGTCTTGATTTTATGAGGGTTTTATTGTCTTTTATCACATTCAATCTGTTTTTTTTTAATTTTTTTTGTTTGAAGGGTATCACCAAATGCAACATATAGAGGGTATTTTAGCAATATTGCTCTGCTGCCCTGACTAACAAATTTTTCTAGATTTCGATAATGCAACTCATAACTAGCTATAATCCACCACACGAATTTGATGACGTGGATTGCCACATACATATTAGAGAATGGAGAAAATGATTTGGATATTTTTGTCCGTGCAATATAAATGTTTTATTATAATTAATTTCTGAAAATTTGTGAACTTTTTGTTTATATCCTATAAATATAACCTAGGCCTTTAGTTTATATTGCAATCGATTGTTATATTCTAGTGGAGATTAAATAATACATTTCAAGTAAAAAAAATTATCATTCCGGTTGATAAATATTATATATATGGATATAGATCCAATTATCACAATTTATAAGTATAAATTCGCTTATTTTAATAAAAATATTTATTAGAATTTTCTTATGGAAAATATCCGTTTTTCATTTGAATTTGGGGTTGTGCTTTTTAATATATTATTTCCATTTCTACGTTTAACGTTATCAATAAAATGAACCCATTCTACGAATATAGGTTCTAAACATTAGGAAAATAATCAATATGTTACATGTACCGAGTCACCTAAATCGTATAGAAACAAATCTGATTGTTTGGATTATGAACAAATTCCATGCTTATAAATTCCAAACATTTGAAAACGAGAGTCGTACCAACAATCTCAAAGCTATTAATATTGTCTTTTGGAATGGCATCTCATGTCTTCATGGTTGGTCGGACGACCATTTTGATGTTGTTTCTTGTAACCATGGCGTTGATAAGCACAACCTCCTTCGGAGAATTGGATGAGGTTGAGATACAAAGGTACTTGAAGCGAGTCAACAAACCCGCTGTTAAATCCATAAAGGTACGTAAGACCACGTGCATATGTAAGCTATAAGATTTTCTTCTTTCTTATCGGTATTGTAACTTGAGTTTTGAGATGACTATCATTAATGATTTTTTTTTTGTTATGACATATTGTTGTTTCACTTTTTTTATATTTGTGGCAAATAGAGTCCCGATGGAGATATAATAGATTGTGTTGATATGTACAAACAACCGGTTTTTGATCATCCTTTGATGAAGAACCACACAATTCGGGTATGCGAGAAGTTGTTTCTTTGGCTAATATTTTCTCTTGGTACCATTGATTTGATTTTTTTTTCACATCATTTTCTTGTGTTTTTTTCATGGGAACGATGTCAATTAGTCGGACCCGAGCTTTCTCCCAAAAAATCAATCCATGAACACCGATGGAAAACTGCAGCCCCTAGCTCAACTGTGGCATATGAATGGAAAATGTCCAGAAAACACCGTTCCGATAAGAAGAACAACAAGAGAAGATCTCTTACGGTGGGGTTCCATCAAAACGTACGGAAAAAAAGATCCAAGTTATGGCATCTATAATCGTCGAAACCGCCTAAACAACGGTCAATTTGCACATGAGGTATATATTCACACGGTAGACATAGAGTTGTCTCTAACGATTTAGTTTAAACCAAATTGTAAGAAAATAATTTTACAAAAATATTTATTATTTTTTAAAATATAAAACTATATAACAAACAAAATGAGAACGGTAGATTTCTTTAAAAAAATCCATAATAGATGTTTATTTCATTTAAAATCTATTACAATTCCATCGTGCTTTTTTTCTTTTTGCGTGTTGCATTAGTACGCCATAATCCAATCGAAGAATGTTGCAAAATATGTCGGGGCCGAAGCCAATTTGAATCTGTGGAAACCACACGTCGCACACGCGGAAGAATTCAGTTTGGCCCAGATGTGGCTTATAGCCAATGGTGAGAGCACAACCGATCTGAACTCGATCGAAGTGGGCTGGCAGGTGCCTTGTGTCATTCTCTGTACTCTTTTTTTTTGCCCCCGTGGATCCAAGTGAGTTGGCAGGTGAATTTGGATGCTGTTTTTTTTTCCTTGCATTTGTTGATAGGCGTATCCACGACTGTATGGCGATGATAACCCCAGGCTCTTTATTTTCTGGACTGTAAGTCACCCCCAGCCGGTCTAATATTTTTGTCGTCCTTTTACGCTGTTGGAGCTAAGCTAACAAGCCATTTCTCATCGACAAACAGTCTAAGAGTTACCGAAATGGATGCTACAACCTCCAATGTGAGGGCTTTGTTCAAAAATCCAGCATTACCGTAGTTGGAGCAGCCTTGGAGCAAGTCTCGACTTACAATGTCCAAATGGCATACCTCTTCGTAATTGTGAAGAAGGTAAGAAAGACGGAGATCCGAATTCTCTTGCCTAAATAAAAGAGCATGGCATTCATGTAATGGTTTTGGTAGGACTTCACTTCCGGAGATTGGTGGCTGATAATCAACGGAACACCTGTCGGGTATTGGCCGAGGGCGCTCTTCACATCTCTGCAGAACTTCGCGGAACGCGTGGACTTTGGCGGGGAGATCGTGAACGCAAAGTTCATAGCGGGCGAGCACACGGAAACCGCTATGGGGAGTGGCCACTATTCCTGGGAAGGGTACGGCAAGGCTTGCTCCATGGATCAAATCCACGTGTACGATGAGCGGGACATAATGACAGAGCCCTATATCACTAATATCTTCATGACAAATAGACATTGTTACGATTTATATGCCGGGACCAACAACCTGGGAACTTACATCTTCTTCGGTGGACCCGGTAGAAACGTTAATTGCCAGTGAAATTATCTTTCTGTTGATAATATAATAAGAGAAATTCAAGGTATTTGAATGTGACTGTATTCCTTCAGACAGAGATCACACAAGTATGATTTTAAGATATTCTAATGCATGTATGAGAGGAACGACTAGATAATAATATATATCATCTAATTCACGCTATACATCAACCAAACACCTGGAAGTAGACAGTAATCACAGTGAATGTTGACAGGAAAATGTATATATCTATGTATATGTGTATTGATATGTGTATATATATATATATATATGCAAATTTTTTTTATTAGTATTATTATAGATTTCTTAATTTTTTATTATTATTTTATTATTAAATATTATAAAATAATGTGACTAAAAATGTGTCATCTGCTTAAGATAAAATTGTTGACACATCATATGTTCGTGAGAACTAAATATTCAGTTTTATATTTAGAGATTTATTTATTAGTTTTTTTAAAATATAGTTATTTTTAAAAAATATATATAATTATTTTATTATTAGATATGATAAATATATATAATTTAATCGGATAGAAAAGTGTGATTTTTTTGTATTGATATCCTAGCCTTAAACTTCTAATGTAACTGTGTGTTATATGTTCCAGTATCAATGGAGATCAAAGATCTATTTCTGAGTAACAAATCATAATTTCCTTGTACTTTATTTAATCTTTAACTTATAATGCATTTGTATTGTACATAGTCTTCTAGTGCTAATGGAGATATCATTAATCTATTTCGAATAACAAATCATGTTTCTCCGTACCTCTATATTGTTAGGATCAGACGTGTATAAATCACTATTAGACAACTAAATTGAGACGAAAAACTAAATAATAGGACACCGAGAATTTACGTAGTTCGCCAGAATGCCAAAGTCCACAGGCGAATGATAGAAGGATTTATACCGACTGTCAAAGAATTACATCACTAACTCTTTACAAATAAATATACAATAATAATTCTCTCTTATATAGGAGAATAAACACTTAGAAATAAAAAGGAAAAACCCAAAAAATAAGAGAGATCCAGAATTTTTTTTTCTCACTCTCTCTTTTTTCCTTTTATTCTCTCTTTACTCTGTGTTTGTTCTTGGCTTGGGATGATGAAACAGAGACATGATTGTCTTATATAGGCAAATGAATGGAAAAAACTCCAAAATGGTAGGACCCATAGTTGATTAAATTTTCAGTAATATGAGACGCCGTTTCGGTGCCTCAGCCTCCAAACCTCCCTTTTTGAAACCTGCATATGTAGACCACAAAAGTGGTTTTACTTTTGATATTTTCTCACTTAAAACCACTTTTTGTTGTATTCCATTTTCCTTTCTACCTCGCTATCTCCATGATGTTTACATTTCTGCTAGACCCATAGAAGATCGACACCAGATGAACTTGTCATTGTTTACTGACTTTGTCATTATATTCGCCATATTTGCCTCTATATGGATTTTCTAAATATCCACACTTCCTTCCTCCATATTCTCTCGTACAAAGTGATATTATACTCATATGTACTTTGTCCTTGGATGAATGTCGGATTCTTTGCTAGATGCAAACCGCTCTGACTATCACAGAACAAGACGATATTATCTTGTTTGTCTCTGAGTTCCTCCATTAAAATTTGCAACCAGATTGAAACTGTCGACCCGCCACATACTTAATCTCCGTCGTAGATATCGCCACGATAGACTGCAGTTTTGAAACCTAGCTTACAGCTCCTCCAACAAGAGTAAACACGTATCCAGTGGTGGACTTACTTTTGTCGAGGTCGCCGGCGTAATCTGAATCAACCTATACAATAACAATCATGTCTGATCATTCATAACATAATGCAACATTTGTGGTATCCTTGTGGTATCTCATGATCCTCTTCACAACACTCCAATGCTCAACTCCAGGATTCGACATGTATCGACTGATCGCTCCCACTACTTCAGCATACCGTACTTGAGACATCTCTATCCTCTCTACTTTATTGCTAGGACTCATATTCGTCATGTATGGGGAGATATTGATGTCATATGCATAGGTGAATATGCAAAGATATTTGCTTCAACATTCCCGTCAAGATTAACTTTGGAGAAATATCGAAAAGCTAATCTTAAAGAATGAAGATCGAATGTTTTCATGATTGAGATAAGGCATCCTAAAGCATTCCACTCCCTTTGATATCTGTTTCAAGCTTCGAATATATGGTACTTTCATTTTTATTTTCTGTAAGATCTCAAAAAAATGTTAGCAAACACAAGTAGGGATGCCAATTAAATTCGAGGCCCGAAACTCGGTACGAGCCCGCCCGAAAAAATTAAAGACATGGACCTAATTAATATAGACCCGATAAATAAATGGGTGGACCGGCCCGACCCAAAAAAATTGAGGCCTGAATCAATCGAGTCCGATACCTGTTCGACCCGCCCATTTAGTCCGAAACATATCGAAAGATTAGATTTTTATTCTCATATAACATTTAAAAAATCTTTTATTTATGTTATATATATTTATATATTTGATGGATTTAATTAATATATATACTAAAATTATATATTATTTTATTTATAAAATCATATATATATATATGTATAACCGACTATTTTGATAAGATTTTGATCTAATTTATATGTATAATGATTTATGAATTTAATTTTAAATTTATATGAATATTTTTTTATACCGAATATATATTATATATATTAAAAAATATTAGATAAATTTGTATATTTTAAAATTTATATGGTTATTTTTTAATTTAAAAGTTTTTAAATGTAGTCGATGTGCATAAAAAAATTTATCTTTGTTTTAATATATTCTTATCGGATGTGGTGTTAGATAATTGAATAATTGGATAATTTTTTAAAATTTATTTTTATTTCGTTGAATGTTTATATTATTATTATTATTATTATTATTATTATTATTATTATTATTATTATTATTATTTATTATCATTATTATTATCACAAAAAAATTTATTTAATAAAAAACTCAAAGCCCGGCCCGAACCCGCCCGAAATCTTGTAGGACTGGGCACCGGGCCATCGATGATAGACCCGAAAAATAAATGAGCGGGCCGACTCAGCTCGAAAAAATCTAGGCCCGAATTGAACTCGGTCCGAACCCAAACTGGCCCGCACATTTTACACCCCTAAACACAAGAGAGGTCATGACACTCCCTTTGATAATTAAAGACGAGAATAAACATGTTACAATGTGTTTTTCATCGAACAATAGTAAAAAAAATGCCTTAGCATGCTTAAAGTTCAATATTTTTAATACATGAGACATTATTTGTAAGAAGGGATTCACATGTGGTTTATATTCTAGACTTAGCATATTACTCAAATTTATATTGAACACAAAAAACATGTGTTTATATCATGGTCAAGTGTATTTCGGACAAGTATGCCTTCTTTTTCATTTTGCAATACATAAACATTATCATCTGGATAAGAAACAAGAGGTTCAAGAGTGATTTTACCAAACCTAGAGTTGTAGGAACTCATAGGTAATGTCATCTCTTTTGGTTCTTCGGATGCTTGTACTGTTTTCTTGGTAGAGAAGCATACGAGTATATCATATCATTCCCCCTCACTCGTGAGCTTTTCGACACCATGAGGTTTCATGATTATTTGTTGGATTTTCTGATCATAAACACTAAAACAACGAAACATAACACTTGGAATACAAAAATCGAAAGAGATAGGAGAATACAAGATACTACAAACTTGGGTCTCTATCCGTGCGAAGGGGATGCTCAGATTCTTTATTATACTCGGATATGGAATGAGTTCAAATGGATGCGTAATGCCTCTTCTTCGGGGTTCTTTGACTCCGTTATGAGGTCATTCACAATCGCATCTGTTTCTCTTCCTTCTTCTTCATCCGAGAGTGCATGATCTAGGCCATTACCGTTGTCATAGTTTTTCTAATCGGTTTATAGTTCTCCATGCATTGTTTTCGCCTCTTCAATGCTTTCTACCTGTGCTTTTTGCATCATGTCAAAAAACTCATTAGTTTGGAATAATTCTTCAAGAAGAATAATACTTAACTCGATGTTGTTTTCATTGGCGTTTTGCACCAACATCTCTCTTAAAGTCTTTGGTATTTTGGCTAAGACATCCTCGACATCCCAATACTCTCTGTATTCTGGTTCTTCATAAAAATCTTCATACTCACAATCACTATACAATACTCACACATATTGTAGTGATAATGGAATATGACAAAAAAATTCTTCTCGGTTTGAAATGAAAAGACTGAGAGAGACAAGAAAAATATGGTAAATCGTGGCTTGAATGAATGGCCAACGATTTACTTGAAGAAAACTCTTCTTTTGGTTTGAATGAGTGACCAAAAGGGAGAACAAAGATCTGAAAAATAAAACAAGCAAGCTCCTCTTCGGTATACTCACAAACGAGAGGGAATATGCTTCGATTTCGCAGTGGAATAAAAAACACAAGGTCCTCTAGACCTTATACTCTAATACCATGAAGATTTCTATATGAATTTGAGAGATTATAGTTGTAAAACAAGAGGAAAGAAGTTTGAACGTAATGAAGAAAAAGACATTCGAAAAGTGAAGTAAAATGGGACTAAATCCCTTTTGTTCGTTACTTGTTATTAGAGATGGGCATAATATCCGAAAAAACTGAACCAATCCGTTATCCGATCCGTATCCGAATCGAAAATTCGGATATCCGGAGTTTATGGATCGGATACGGATATTTATTTTGAAATAGTTGTCGGATACGGATCGGATACGGATATCAAATTCGAATTATCCGACATATCCGATCCGATCCGTACTAATTAATAATATTATTAAATATAAAAATAATTTACTATAAAAATTTAAAATGTTTTATACTTACATATTTTATATGTATATTCAAGAAATATTTTGTATATATTGAGATTTATAATATTTAATCTTTTGAATATTAAAATTTATTAGGTTTAATATTTGAATTTTGAATTTTCAATATATTTGTATATAATAGATTATGATTATATTTGTATTTGACTTGATTTAAAATATTTAAATTATGAATTTTAAATTGTGAATAACATTTATATTAAATAACTTATATATTTTCTTTTATATTTAAAATTGTTATTTAAATTTGAATTTAATTTTTATAATTTTTATGTCGGATACGGATATTCGCAAATATCCGCGATATTTACGGATATCCAAAATTTCGGATATCCGTAAATTATGGATCGGATAAGGATAATAAAATCGAGTATTTGTGTGGATCGGATACGGATACGAATATCTCAAAAATCACAGATATCTGATCCGTGTCCACTCCTACTTGTTATATTCATAAGTATATGTACATATTTATAACTAAAAATATAGAAGTGTAAAAAGAATAAAATAAATGTAAGCACTAATGGATATAATATTTATATAATATTTAGAAACGTCTTGGTATAGAATAATGTAAGTTGTTAATCGGTTTTGACTTTGATTGCTCCATCACATCCTGGAATATATGTTTTTGAATATTTTCCAACGTCTCTTATTGCACCGTTTCCTTACGATGCATTCCAAGTCGCCATGTGTCAAGTCCATATATGGGAAGCTTATGTTAATGCACGATCAATCATATGGATGGGTTGTAACTTGTATGGGGAGATATTTGACGTCATATGCATAGGTGAATATGCGAAGATATTTGCTTCAACAATTATCCTATTTGATTTTATTACAAAAATCGATGGACAAATTGGTTTGATTTATTTGTTTTTTAATTATGGAGATTGAGAAAATATTAAAACATCTGGTTAACCACATGAAACAATTTGTTCTAGATTGGTTTGATCAATACAATGACCGATTTTGTATGTTGTCAATTTGACTGATGGTAGATGTTTTTTACTCATAAATTTCGAGAATAAAACTTTACGTAAACAAATTGGTGATCGATTTTGAGTAATTATCAGTTTATTTTGTCAAAAACTATTTATTTTAAATAATTGTAAAGAAATTTTAAAAAATAAAAAATCATAAATTTCAATTGTAAAATATAAACATTTTTTTTAACAATATATTTTACTAAGTTTATTATATATATATTATAACTACTGCCTTCACTAACAAATTTTTCTAGATTTCGATAATGCAACTCATCACCAGCTATAATCCACCACGAATTTGATGACGTGGATTGCCACATACATATTAGAGAATGGAGAAAATTATTTGGATATTTTTGTCCGTACAATATAAATGTTTTTTATAATTAATTTCTGAAAATTTGTGAACTTTTTGTTGATATCCTATAAATATAACCTAGGCCTTTAGTTTATATTGCAATTGATTGTTATATTCTAGTGGAGATTAAATAATACATTTCAAGTAAAAAATCATCATTCCGGTTGATAAATATTACATATATTGATATAGATCCAATTATCACAATTTATAAGTATAAAATCGCTTATTTTAACAAAAATATTTATTAGAATTTTCTTATGGAAAATATCCGTTTTTCATTTCAATTTGGGGTTGTGCTGCTTTTTAATATATTATTTCCATTTCTACGTTTAACGTTATCAATAAAATGAACCCATTCTACGACCATTTTGATGTTGTTTCTTGTAACCATGGCGTTGATAAGCATATATATAGTTTAACGTTATCAATAAAATGAACCCATCCTACGAATATAGGTCCCAAACATTAGGAAAATAATCCATACGTTACATGTACCAAGTCACCTAAATCGTATAGAAACAAATCCGCTTGTTTGGATTATGAACAAATTTCATGCTTATAAATTCCAAACATTTGAAAACGAGAGTCGTACCAACAAACTCAAAGCTATTAATATTGTCTTTTGGAATGGCATCTCATGTGTTCATGGTTGGTCGGACGACCATTTTGATGTTGTTTCTTGTAACCATGGCATTGATAAGCACAACCTCCTTCGGAGAATTGGATGAGGTTGAGATACAAAGGTACTTAAAGCGAGTCAACAAACCCGCTGTTAAATCCATAAAGGTACGTAAGAGCACATGCATATATAAGCTATAAGATTTTCTTCTTTCTTATCGGTATTGTAACTTGAGTTTTGAGATGACTATCATTAATGATTTTTTTTTTTGTTATGACATATTGTTGTTTCACTTTTTTCATATTTGTGGTAAATAGAGTCCCGATGGAGATATAATAGATTGTGTTGATATGTACAAACAACCGGCTTTTGATCATCCTTTGATGAAGAACCACACAATTCGGGTATGTGAGAAGTTGTTTCTTTGGCTATTATTTTCTCTTGGTACCATTGATTTGATTTTTTTTTTCACATCATTTTCTTGTGTTTTTTTCATGGGAACAATGTCAATTAGTCGGACCCGACCTTTCTCTCAAAAAATCGATCCATGAACACCGATGGAAAACTGCAGCCCCTAACTCAACTGTGGCATAGGAACGGAAAATGTCCAGAAAATACAGTTCCGATAAGAAGAACAACAAGAGAAGATCTGTTACGGTGGGGTTCCATCAAAACGTACGGAAAAAAGGATCCAAGTTATGGCATCTATAATCGTCGAAACCGCCTAAACAACGGTCCATTTGCGCATGAGGTATATATATTCACACGGTAGAAGTAGAGTTGTCTCCAACTTTGAGATGTCATGCTCGATATATATATATATATATATAGTTTAATAATTATATTAATTTTTACATATTTTTTTTATCTAATTAATAATAATATCACAAATCATTTATAACGATTTAGTTTAAACCAAATTGTAAGAAAATAATTTTACAAAAATATTTAATATTTTTTAAAATATAAAACTATATAACAAACAAAATGAGAACGATAGATTTCCTTAAAAAATCTAATATAATTTCAGAAAATTGTCCATAATAGATGTTTATTTCATTTAAAATCTATTACAATTCCATCGTGCTTTTTTTCTTTTTGCGTGCATTAGTACGCCGTAATCCAATCGAAGAATGTTGGAAAATATGTCGGGGCCGACGCCAATATGAATCTGTGGAAACCACACGTTGCACACGCGGAAGAATTCAGTTTGGCCCAGATGTGGCTTGTAGCCAATGGTCAGAGCCCAACCGATATGAACACGATCGAAGTGGGCTGGCAGGTGCCTTGTGTCATTCTCTGTACTCTTTTTTTTTTCCCCGTGGATCCAAGTGAGTTGGCAGGTGAATTTGGATGCTGTTTTTTTTCCTTGCATTTGTTGATAGGCGTATCCACGACTGTATGGCGATGATAACCCCAGGCTCTTTATTTTCTGGACTGTAAGTTACCCCCAGCCGGTCTAATATTTTTGTCGTCCTTTTACGCTGTTGGAGCTAAGCTAACAAGCCATTTCTCATCGACAAACAGTCTAAGAGTTACCAAAATGGATGCTACAACCTCCAATGTGAGGGCTTTGTTCAAAAATCCGGCATTACCCTAGTTGGAGCAGCCTTGGAGCAAGTCTCGACTTACAATGTCCAAATGGCATACCTCTTCGTAACTGTAAGGAAGGTAAGAAAGACGGAGATCCGAATTCTCTTGCCTAAATAAAAGAGCATGGCATTTATGTAATGGTTTTGGTAGGAACCCTTTTTCGGAGATTGGTGGTTGATAATCAACGGAGTATCTGTCGGGTATTGGCCGAGGTCGCTCTTCACATCTATGCAGGACCACGCGGATAGGGTGGACTTTGGTGGGGAGATCGTGAATGCAAAGAGCGGCGAGCAACACACGGAAACCACTATGGGGAGTGGCCACTTTGCTGCGGGAGGGTTCGGCCAGGCGTGCTCCATGGATCAAATCAACGTGTACAATGAGCAGGGGCAAAAGGTCATGCCCCATATCACTGATGTCAGGATGACAAATGCACTTTGTTACGATTTATTTCTCGGAACCAACAACCTGGGACCTTACATCTACTTTGGTGGACCCGGTAGAAACCCTACATGCCCGTGAATGTTAACGTATGCGACGTTGTGAAAGTACTCTTTCTGTTGACAGTTTAAGGGAAAATAAATAAAAACATCGAACTTTGCGATTGACCAAAAAAAAACAGTGAACTTTATTTTCAATCAAATAAATATTAAAATTTTTAAACGAATCTAAAAAAATACTGAACTTTTTAAATGGTCTAAAAAATACATAAATTTTTCTGCGATTATAAAAAAAAACATTGAATTTTTTCAGTGATAAAAAAATATATGAACTTTCTTCGATTGTCGAAAAAAAAATAAACAAAATAATCTGACGTGTTTGAATCTCCTTTTCCTACGTCAGTCATTTTGTTTATTTTGACAATCGTACAAAAAATAAATGTTTGTTTCGTCAAAATTAAAAGGTTTAATTTTTATTTGATAAAATAAAAATTTCAGTTTTTTTTGTCAAAATTTGAAAATTCAGTGTTATTTTTTATTGTCCCATAATTTAATAAGAGAAATTCAAGGTATTTGAATGTGACAGTATTCCTTCAGACAGAGATCATACAAGTATGATTTCAAGATATTCTAATGCATGTATGAGAGGAACGGCTAGATTATATAAATGAATATATATATGACATAATTCACGCTATGCATGAACGAAACACCTGGAATTAGACCTTTAATCACAGTGAATGTTAACAGAAAAATGTATATATATGTGTATATATACATAGATGTACATATGTATGTATGTGTATGTGTGTATATATGTAAATTTTGTTTTTTATTAGTATTATAATAGATTTCTTAATTTTTTAATTTTATTATTTAATATTATAAAATAATGTGACTAAAAATGTGCCATCTGATTAAGCTAAAATTGTTGACACATCATATGTTCGTGAAAACTAAATAGTCAGTTTTATATTTGGAGATTTATTTATTAGTTTTTTTTAAAAATAGTTATCGTATTAGATATGATAAATATATATAATTTAATTGGATAAAAAAGTGTGAATTTTTTATTGATATCCTAACCTTAAACTTCTAATGCAACTGTATGTTATATATTCTAGTATCAATGGAGATCAACCGATCTATTTCGAGTAACAAATCATAATTTCCTTGTACTTTATTTAACCTTTAACTTCTAATGCAATTGTATTGAACATATATAGTATTAATGTCCTCCGCTGAGGGAATAGCACCAACCAATGAACTCTGGTCGTCGCATATCGGTATGGTAACAAGTCACGTATCAGGTCCAAATTCGATGGTTGAATATCTCCTTTCCTTCCCAGCAGACATTATCCAACCGTTTACCGTGATCGTCTTCCACAAAATGTATGTGATTCTTTGTCGTCCGAGCTTAAAACTTATGATGGAAATACGCTGTGCCTTTATTCCCTAGACTAACCCACCTTACACGAGATTTCTACGTGTAGAACCTCTCCTCGGTTGAGACTAGCGTCATGTATTGGTATAGTATTTTCTCCTCTATAATTCAAATTTTAAACTGGTGCTTCAAATATGGTTTGTTGAACCCTTTTTAGGATCATACCGGCTTCATTTACCCTCTTAGATAACTCAGAGAATATGTCTTGGTTCAGTGCTCTAAGCGGCTGCTTTAGGTGCTTTATGGCTCTACATAGTTGGTACTGTGATCTACTTGTTGGAATTTTGCAGATCCCTAAACATGCTTTTATAACGGTTTCTAGGGTTCCAACTTTGGGTTTCAAGCAACGTAATAGATTATACGAAATTCAATCAACAGATCTTACATATAATGATAAAGGTACCAATATACCAACATGTTTCGATCCAGAGATATATGTCACAAACACTGAAATTAAGCGTTCTCTACAGCTTGTCTACACTCACGGACTTGCATCTGTTAGAACACGATATGGAGGAAGAGAACGAATACTGAGGTACTCCCCATGAGAGAGAGAGGTCAGCCACGAGAGAGAGAGAGAGAGAGAGGAGAAAAAAATCTGATTTTTCACTTAACCCTAAATTATATTTATTAAACATAATTATAAAAACAATTAGGATTTTATTAAACCCAATGGGTCTAATGGGCCTTCGCTTAACCATTAAGATAATAAGCTCATCAACCTCATTAATAAACATATGGGTCCATTGGACCATCTAAACTCATCCTCAAATGAGACCAGCGTGGCCAGAACACCATATCCATCAAATTTTCTACATGTAGAACCTCTCCTCGGTTGAGACCAGCGTCATGTTTTGGCATAGTATTTTTTCATCTGCAATTCAAATTTTCATTTGGTACTTCAAATATTGGCTTGCTGAAACCTTTTTTAGTATCTTAACGGCTTCATTTACCCTCTTAGATAACTCAGAGAATCTATCTTGGTTCAGTGCTCTAAGCGGCTGCTTTAGGTGCTTCATGGCCCTACATAGCTGGTGCTGCGGTCTACTATCGATCTCCGAGGCAAACCAATGTCTAGAGACTATTTGAAGAACTCGGGAACTAGGATTAAGTGCTGGAAGAATTTAAATGGCCGTTTGTGACAACCTAAGATAACGTAGGAGGGCGGGGAGTGATCGACAGTGCGAGAGGCATGGGCAATGGGCGGCTCCTGACGAGTTTTTGGGTAGGGGGTACAGGGATGAATCCGACGCACTGGAATGAGAGGGATCCGAGGGCTGTGTAGGTATAGGACTACACAGTCTAAGATAACTTAAAGGAATTAATTGAGCTACCCATAGCAACAAGATGCATCTACCTTTTTGGTTGCCCATCTGGAGAGAACTCCAAAGTTAAGCGTGCTGGCCTTGGAGTAGTCTTAGGATAGGTGACCTCTTGGGAAGTACTTTCCGGGATGTGTGCGAGTTAGGACAAAACACGCTAAAAGGTTCAATGTTGGTGTGTGGGGATAGCTCTATCATTTCATAGCGGCCTCGGGTCATTACAAATGTATCAGAGCCGATTCTCTCCCAGTATGGTGTGGTTCGAGGATGAACCATGCAGAAGCTGGTAGGCCTATGACAACCCAGGATATCGTAGGAAGGCAGGAAGTGATCCCCGGTGTGAGAGGCATGGACAATGGACGACTCCTGACGAGCTTCTGGGTAGGGGGAACAGGGATGAATCAGACGTACCGAAATGAGAGGGATCCGAGTGCTGTGTAGGTATGGGACTATACAGTCTAAGATAACTTAAAGGAATTAATTGAGCTACTCATAGCAACAAGATACATCTACCTTTTCGGTTGTCCATCTCGAGAGAACTCCAAAGTTAAGCGTGATGGCATTGGAATAGTCTTAGGATGGGTGACCTCCTGGGAAGTACTTTTCGGGATGTGTGCGAGTGAGGACAAAATACGCTAAAAGGTCCAACGTTGATGTGTGGAGATAGCTCTATTATTCCGTAGCGGCCTAGGGTCGTTACACCGTCGTACCAGGGATTGATTATCCGAAAAATGGATAATACAGAGAGTGTGGTCTGAATGTGCAGGGATAGAAAATTCCAAGCTCCATTTGTCATAACACGATCCAACTTGACGGATAGAGGATTTTGTGTGTGATTGTTCCACCAAGCGAAGGATGCTCCTCTAGCAGGCATGTCAGATATCTCGGCCACCAGCAAGCAATCGTGAAAGTCGGGCATGCCAACCTGTTGGCTTGTTGTTGTCCATGATCTAATCGTTCATTGGGATTGAGACATTGATTAAAGTCACCAAGCACCACCCAGGGTGAGTTTATAATGGGCTGATATTGCCCGATAGCCTTTAGCTCTTCCCATAGTTGACTTCATTCAATGAGCAACGTAGAACTGTAGACAAAAGTTTTCGTAAACTGTAGATTTCGGCTCGGGATTGCCACTCGACATGTTATAGTCTGGTTGATTGAATTGTAGACATTAATCTTGACGGAATCATCCCATACTAACCAGATTCTTCCAATAAACCAATCTCCAAAAGAATAGAAATTATTTCAACCCAAAGGTATCACATTAACTATTCGGTGAGATTTTATCTCATGTATGTGTGTTTCAAGTAGGCTTCTCGTATAGAACTTGTCCTCCGCTATCTATTTGCGGGTCAAAAAACTTTTATTCTGGGCATTTATGCCCTTGACGTTCTAGGCAAAAATCATGGGTATCCTTATGATGATTAGTTTCCTCTTGTGGCCTTTCGACCACCGGTTTGTGACTGTACCTCTGCCATTCCATGGACGGGTTTTCCTTTGTTCTAAGATTTCCGACCTTTACTGATCTTCCGGTTAGTAGCTGTCACATTCTGCCCCAAGTTTTGGTCCGGTAATAGTGCTCTTTGTAGAAATACCTTGCTGGTTTTTCAATGCCCCAGAGGAGGGGCAAAGGGTGGGTGTTAAGTCCGCCTCCTTCCCTTTTTTTGGAGAGTGGTTAGAGTTGTTTTCCGGGGTAGACATCTCATGCTCCCCAACCTTATTATCACCCATTTGATTAGCGGTTTTTTGATATCTTGCCTTGATCCCTTTCACTGTCTGCTCTACAATCCCTGGGGACTTGACAGTGGTTGGTAGCGGCTTAGTTACTGGAGTGGATAAGGGCAGTGGAGCTGGCTATGGCCTATTTCATGGCATTCGCTACACGTCGATGACAACCAATCGTAGGCAATATCAATGAAATGGTCTTGACCTCCTCGAAGGGTGATGATAATATTCATCGGTGGAGTCACCCTGGGGTTGACATCAATATAACTTCGCGCAACTGCAACATTCTCTTTGACCACTATTAATCTGTCCAGGTACATCGATTGACCATCTGAGGTGGCAATTCTTCTTAAGCTATCGGTGCAAAAGACAGTGTGGGAGATTTATAAAAGAAACCCAGGTGGCAATAGAATTGAGCACTGGTTTGGTTGTTGTTTGATATGGGCACCAGGATGAGACAAACATAGGGGAGGACCCTACATGCCATATCTTCCTGCTTATAGCTAATTCCCTCGCTCTACGATCTAACAACTTGAAAAGGAACATTATATTTCCTACATCCTGAACCTTAACCCTGGGGCCAGGTCTCGA